ATTTATTCAACAAATTGTTGTTGAGCACTTACAATGAGCAGACAATTTTCTCTGTTGGACATACTGCATACAATTCAGGGAAAAGTTTATGCCCTTGTGGAGTTGACATTCTATGTCAGGAATGTAGACAAGGAATGAGGTAAATAGTAAGTTGCTTTTCTGTGGGATGACCAGAACTATGGAGAAAAATAAAGCAGGAAGAAGGCAGAGCATGAGTGTGGTAGAAGGACACAAGGCCTCACCAAGAAGGTGCCTTGGCACTCCCTTGCCAGAAGGGATGAGGGAGCAAAGGCTGCATATATCTAGGGGACAGCTAATCCCCAGGCCCCAGAGGAAGGGAGCCCGGTGTATTTGAGGCCACTGTGGCTGGTGCAGAGATGAGACAGGAACAGCAGGAGGTGAGGGGGTGCAGGGAGCAGATCTTCTATACACATCAAGGCTTGATGAGAGGCAATGTTTCATCACCATCTGGAAAGACAAGTCCTATGAAGTGAGTGGAGATGGAATGTCCAGGTACCACCATTGTTTGAGGTGCCTTGGTACCCAATGCCCACATGGAGGAAGGAGAGATGAGCTGGGAAAAGAAGGCAAAACCCAGCCAGGAGGGCCCCACATGTCTCTGACCCAGACCTTATCAAGGATGCCTGTGGCCTCCATTTTGCTAAATGCAATGACATTTTATCTGACCACATTCACCCAGCAGCAGCTTTGGACCAGATTAGCCACTCTTACTTATAACACTTTGCTTCTAGACTTTATGTCCTCTGGGTTCTTCTCATTTTCTTCATTGGATCCTCCTGCCCATCTTGGAAATGTTTCAGTGCCTGGCCAGCTCCTCTCTCTGCAGGTTCCAATACTTGTGGTAAGATGCTCACCTATGACATATGCCACATGTCCTTATACCCTGCCTGGAGTGTGAGACTGCCTGATCCTGTGTGCTGAGGGACTGACTCTGCTCTACCAGGATGAACCCCTCACTCAGTGGTTTGAGAGGCTAGAGAGTGGGAAGGCTAGTGAGCTATCCCCACTCTGGTCTCAAGTGAAGGGCAGTGGGCTTCAAGAGAACTTCCAGGAAAGCTACCACTTGTGCCCTGGAGTCTAGAGTGTGATGCTGATGTTCACCCAAAGAAGTCTAAAGGCCTGGGAATAAGGCTGGAATGGCTCATCTGTGAACAGAGCCCACAGCTGCATAAGGAAAGGGCTGTCCTTCTGCCCTGCAGGACACAGCTGTCTGGGCCTGGTGGACAATGGGAGAGGTGACTGGAGTTATCTTTAGGGCACTTGCCCAGGAAGACCATTGGGAAGGTCTGTCCTGAGGCCCAGGGATGAGGAAGAAGATGCCCAGCTGGAAGAGGCATTCTCTTGACCATAGGATGATAGTCAGAGGTCTCCAGAGTTAGTTAGGATCTCTGCAGAATCCTCAGAAGTGCCCCAGGGAGGAAGAGCCAGCTCTTGGGTGTCTGCCAGGTCAGGGCAGCAACAGTAGATCATTGGCGGCCCCTATGCCTAACCTTGGGAGGGTTAGAGAGAAGGGAATAGGAGAGGAGGAGCTAGCAAGTGGGGAAAAAGAGGGAAAAAGAACCTTTGGCCTCCCATACTCTTTCTGGCCTAGTGAGGGGTTAGCTTCGAGTAGGATACAAGTTGGGAGTTTGGGTGTCCACACAGGGTTGGGCTGGACTGGAGTTATTTGATTTGTGGACTGAGCTGGACTCCACCAAAACAAAGTGCTTGCCTGTATCTGTGAATGAGTAGAAAAACTCTTTAAGACTTACCTGAAATTTCATCCTGGGGTGGAAGAAAATAGCTGACAGGTGAGGCTGAAGGAATAGAGAGGAAGAAGTGGATTGATCAGTAAACCAAGTACACCAGCACCACCTGGCAGGACCAGAGCTTGTTTCTGGACATCAAGACACAGTCCAGCAGACTCTGGAGGCCTGTTGAGGAGAACCAGGGAGTTCCGTGGCTGAACAGTGAGACCTTGGCTTGAGTACAGGTGGGTCCTTAAGTGGACCGGCTGCCATCATCTGTAGCCAGAAGCAGCAGGTGGCTTGGGAGGCTAGGGCAAGGTCGCGCAGTCTCTGGCCCTTTGGCATGTCTGACAGGAGTAGCAGTAGGCTGCTCAGGAGCAGGTGAGGGTTCCTGGGGAGGGTGGGGAGGTAGCCCACATGCTGAACCCGAAGTGGTGAGCAGTGGGATTAACCCTTTATTTCCTCTCAGAGAAAGCCCTTTCTAGGCAAACGGCCAGATTGAATTAGGCTGACTTGGACTTAGGGTCTTCCCCTGGGGACTGCAGGGACATCGTCACGATGTTGGTTTGAGGTATGAGGAGAGATCTGGTGTAGGGGTCTAGAAGGGCTGAGCAATGGCAACAGGTTTAACAAAGTCCCCAGAGGAGGAAGGCAACTCAGATACCTCTCATGCATCAAGGTTGACTCTCTCCATAGATGCCAGCGACCCCTTGTCAGAGGACCTCATGGGCTCTGCTCTGAGGGGCATCTGTGGGGCCACCACATGGGTGACTATGCTAAGCAGGATTTATGTTTTCCTGGTGTCTGTTATGCCATCCATTGAAAAGAGGTGTCTGTGGACACTGCTCCTGGCTCCCTGGTCTTGGAGATGTCATTCCGGAAGTTCTTTTCTGGTAGAGCCCGGTGAGAGAGTGACAGCACAAGGGCTCCTGCCCTAAAGATCAGATACCTGCCATCTTGGGGGCAAGGAGATTGACTCATCCGGGGGATTTTGGCCTGAGCCTTAGGCCTACCAAGCCTCCAGCTTGGCTGCTCTGTGTAGAGGGGACTGGGTGTAACGGGTCTTCCAGGCTCCAGGCCTGGGCAGAGACTCATGAGTCCTGACACTTTGCTTTTTCGCTAGGGAGGCTTGAGATGAAAACCAGGCTGTGAGATGACGATAGTTTAGGGCTGGAAGAGGTGATGTCAGAGGGAGATCAACCTGACCCCCACACCATCGTCTTCTCTCTCCAGCCTCATTGCCTAAACTCCTCCTGGCAGTCCATGCCATCTCCGGACTGAGAAACTCACCCCTCATTTTGAGTTGAACTTAATTCTTGGCCCTGGTTATGTTCTCTGGGAATGCATAGGGCAGGGCATCTTTAATCATGTCCCCCTAATTCAGAGTATTCATCTCCAGCACCTTTGGCTCCGCGATATGGTTCCTCCACTATTTTCTCCTCCCTCCTTTTGAAATTGCATGATATGGATTCCCCAGCCCAGGGTAGGGCCTGCGTGGTACAAACTACTTACAAGATTCAGTCTAAGGAGAACTTTCCAACCCTGATGTGCTGACCATCCTGGCCTTCCTGCTGTGCTGTGGTCTGGGATGTTTGCTTCAGTGCCCCAGCAAGCCCTGGGCCAGGGAACAGGCACTTCTCCTCTCACTTCATTCTCTGGCATCTACTCTGGTCCTCCTGTAAGGGGCATCATTATTCCATGCACCACTCAGAAAAATCACTGCCAATTAAGTTATGATTGGTGAAGATTAGTTTTCACATCAAGTATAGGTCATCCCTATTCTGAAAAAAAGCATGCCCGCGCATAGGATGAAATGTCACAAGCCACAAATGTCACAAAGCCACCTTGTGACGTGAGGGCTAATGGGAGAAGGTTTTATCAGGTGTTTAGTGTGGTGTTTGGCACCATACACACTCAGCAAATGATTCTACTTTTATTAAAACCCTGTAGGTGGTGCATACCTGTAATCCCAGTGGTTTGGGAGGCTGAGGCAGGAGGATTGTAAATTCAAAGCCAGCCTTAGCAACTTAGTGAGACCCTGTCTCAAAATAAAATGTAAAAAAGGTCTGGGGATGTAGCTCAGTGGTTAAGCACCCCCAGGTTCACTTCCTAGTACTAAAAGAAAGAAAACCTCTGAAGCAGCTGCCCAGTGCTCCCATGAAGACCCTGTCCACCTCTCCAGCCCTCCATCCCCCACTTCCTTCTGTCTCTGCACTGACTACAACAGATGGCTCACGGTGGGTCCTCTTACCTCTTCCTGAAGGGCTCCATTCCCATGAGCCCCCTCTTGTTCATGTCCTCAGATGTTGTTGCCTTTGGAAGGTGTCCCTACTGCCCTCCCTCTGTGCTTCTGCCCACCTCCAACAGGATCCCTACAGCCAGCACATCTGTCAGCCTGCTCATCTGTCTCCTTCTCCAGAACGTGACTCCAAGGACAGGGACACAGTTAATTTATCTTCATGTCTCTCGCTTCTCGCAGTGCCAGAATATGACAGAAGCCTGAGAAATGTTTGCCAAATGAGTGACAGTTTTTCTCATGCTTAATAAAACTTGAATTTGTGTGGTGCTTTATAGTTTAGCAGGTTGCTTTAAGAGTTCTTTCCTTATTTTATTAATCTAATCACTGTTCTTATTTTACAGCCAGAAAAACTGAGTCTCTATTAGGGACACACCTGAGGGCACAGAGCCTAGTTACTGACGAAACTGGAACTGGAACCTGGCTCTGGCCTCTTACCACGTGGGGCTTAATGGGCCCTTCTGGTCAAAGACAGCAAACTGGCAGCCTCTGTCATACATGACTTGGGGACATGCTTAGGCCCACATAATTTTTTTTCCCTCCAAGGTGAATAATTTGTCCAAACATTAAAAAATTAGGCATAATACCAATTACTAGCTTAAAAATCTGAGCATCTGGCAACTCTGGGCTTTCATACTCAAAAGAGTAGCAACTGGCATGTGCTCTACTGCTAGGGTCCAATACCCACCCAAGTCTCCGAACTGTCAGCGTGGCCATGGAGCAAGGTCTTTGTCCTGCTCACAGTACCCCTGTAGCACTTAGCTTGATGCTTAGACATCACCAGTGGTGGGGGGCAGGTGATGAACTACCTGCTGGTGGGCCAGCTTGGCCACACCTCCAGAGAATACCACGTGTTGTTGTCAGTAAACCCGAGGCTTTGGCAGGGACCCCGGTCAGCCCCTGCCTTGGCAGTGTCCTCATTCTAAGTCTGCCCCAGGGTAGGAAGGTGGGAGGTGAATGCAGCCTTTCTCTCTTCCCTAGGACAAGGGGGATGCTGGGGTGAAGGAGCTGGACAGCTTGAACAGTGACCGGCTGAGAACCATCCAGCTCAACGTCTGCAACAATGAGGAGGTGGAGAGAGCAGTGGAGACCGTCCACTCAAGCCTGAAGGACCCTGAGAAAGGTAGGGGCCATTCAGAGGGAGCATGTCCTAAATGTCCTCCTCCATTTGCTGGTATCCTGCCCAAACTCTCCTTTATTTATTGTTTAAACTCTTCCTCCTGCTCAGAGTAGGAAGTGGATCAAGTTCAACACACCTGTGCAATAGGGCAGTGTGAAACCTGCCAGAAGGCGATTTGGGGAATATAGGAGAGCTGGATGGGCATGCACTGGTTTGGGCCAGTTCAGTCAGTTCTCATTGGATGCCCATTCTAGGCCAGGTTCTGGGCTGTGTACTCAGGATGACCCAGGCACAGTCTGTCCCTGAGGACATATAGGACACTGTAGAGGGACTGGTTATGACATCAGGGAGCCGCACACTGAGAGGTAGGATAGCACAGGAAACCAGGATGCATCCAGTCTTGGGAGTTGGGTGGGAATGGGTCAGTGTAACAGAGGGTGGAGAAGGCCAGTCCAGGAGCAGGGAGCATGGACAATGGTGGGCAGTGGCCCAGGATGCTGGGCCCTGGTGAGTGGTCTGGTCCCAGGGTAGAGTCTGGTGGAGGTGATGACAGCAAATGAAGCTGGGGAAGGAGGTCAGCAGGGCCTTGGGTGCTAGGCCAGCAGAGAATGGCTGCCTCCTTAGGACCCTCAGGAGCTATCAAAGGGGTTGTCTGGAGGAGATGGTCTGGAGGGGTCTGTTTGTGAAACTCACTCTAATGTCACATTGGCAACGTGGAGGGTGGTTTGAAGGGGCATGTGGTTCAGAAGTCCTAGGCAGGGTGGTGGGCATTGGAAAAGGAGGGATCAGGCTCAGGAGTGCTGAGAAGGCAAAACTGGAGGGGCCTGATGACTTGGGCATGGGACGAGGGAGACGCAAGAGATCTCTGTTCTACATTCCTCAGTTGCAGGAGCAGTTTGAGGTGTGTCCTCAGTTGCAGGAGCAGGTTGAGGTGCAGGAAGACACTGAAGTGCCCATGGGACACTTGGGGGAATGTCCAGGAGGACTTCTGGGGACTGTGAATATTTAGGGGCCAGGTTTGTTTGAGAGGTTAGATAGAGTGCCCCAAAGCTAAAGGAACAGAAAGTTTTGGGGATCCAATAACCAACAGGGTCAAATACTGCAGAAAGTCCCTGTAGCATAAGCACCCAGGTGTCCCCAAGTGTTTTCCATTTAAGCCACATGGAAGACCTTGATGGGAAGAGCTCTGCTGACCAACTCCAAGGGGCACCATGCATACAGACCAGGGCAGCAATGGCTGGGATATCATTCAGCTGGCAGCTCAGGGCATCTGTGGAAGAGCAGAAGAGTGAGTTCGTGCAGTTGACCTTTGTGTTCTCACAGCCCAGGCAGAAATAGGGTGTCTCATCTAGCTCTCTGCTTTTCTGCACAGTGGGCTGGAGGCAGCTCTCCTAAGCAGTGACTCCATTCCCCGGATGGGGAGGATGGAAGGGGAATGGCCAGCACCTGTGCTGTGCCTTCTGTGCTGAGCACGGGTGGGTCAGGTGGAAATGCTGTCATCTCTGAGAATCCCACCTGTGCTGTGTGGCTGTCTGTGGACAAGCTGTTGCTTTACAGGTATTTTGTCACGGGTGTCCCCTCAGCAGGCCCAGTGCCACCCCCACCCCCACAACATCCTTTTTTTTGAGCACTGTTCTCTGAGGAGACGCCTGTGAGTTACTGAACATCTGTTTAATAATTAACAGGCAGAGCCTGCGCTCCTGTCCCATTAAGAAAAGGCAGGATGGGTCCCACTGGGATGATTACCAGCCTGAGTGCAGAGCCTGCCTCACCCCAGCAGTGGTAAATCTGCTCCACCCTCTCTGCCCCCGCTAGGAGGTGGGAAATTGCCCCCATAAACCATCAGGCAAGAAAACAGCTGCAGTCAGCGCCATAAAGCCACAGCAGTTGCAGCCTGTGAGGCTTGTGGTGATTTAAATTGCTCATGGAAAGGAATTGCCAGGGGGGACCTGGTACAGAATGGCCAGGACACTGGGGCAGAGCCACCTCCATTCCCTGTACTGGGTTGGCCAGTTAGACTAGCCCAGCAAGGCAGGGTCCCCCACGCCCCTAGCCACACAATGGGAGGTGCTGTCCTCTGCCCTGGCATCTAGGCTTAAACCCAGCACCCAACACACAGACTTTTCCCTCCTGCCTTTTCCACATGAGGCATTCTGGGGAGGGCTTAATAAACCACTCACCACAGCCTTCCTTAACCCATACTGAAATTTTTGGAAAAGAATCTGAAATCTTTTAGGTCCAAAAGAGAAAATAAATCTGTCAGATATGTGGTTGCATGCCTCCTTCTTTCTCTCCCCTCTTTCTCTTCCTCCCCCCCATTTCTACTCCCCTTCCTCCCTTCTGGCTCTGGTTGGCTTTTTCCTAGTAAGGCAGCACCCATCCCCACTCCTCGGGCAGTGCTGGCTCTGAACTCCAGGTGGCGCTCTCCCAGAGTTTTCCACCAGCTCTGGCCACCTCTGATTCACATCCTACCCAGAGAGGAACTTCTCAGAAGAGGGGTCCTTCCCCACCCCTGGATATTGGGGCACATTTTGATGGCAAGTTTGTTGTCTGTCACTCTGGCTCCATGGAACAGTTGCTACCAAAGCCTGGGGAACCAGCCTTGGAGGTTAAGATGAATGGAATTGTCTTGATTAGAGTGGTCCAGCCATCTGCCACCAGCCCCTTTTTTCCCTGGCAAGACTCTAAGGGACTGGACATCTGGAACCTCTGACCACCCTCCCTACCCTCATCCTAAGGGAAAGCTGGGCCAAAGGATCAGAGGGCAGCCTGTGAGTGTGGTTTGATCTTGGCATCATTACTTACTAGTCAATCAGTAAACATTTACTGAGTACTTGCTGTATACTTGGTAGTGTGCTGAGGAGCAGAAGGCAGCGTGCTGGCAGGATGAACTTGTGGTTGGACACCAGCCAAGTGGCTTCAGGACAAAACCTCTCAAGGGCTTTTATGGCTTTGGGGGTATTATGCTGTCGGCAGGGAGGGCCCTATCCCCCATCCTCATTCTGGAAGTGAGTGGGAAACTGTATTTACCCTGGGCTTTGCCTCTTTTTAATTTTTTTAATTTTTTTAAATTGTTGATAGAATTTTATTATTTATTTTTATTATTTTTTATTTATTTATATGTGGTGCTGAGAATCGAACCCCATGCCTCACACATGCCCTGGGCTTTGCCTCTTAATTGAAGTGTGACTTGGGTGTGAACCATCACCTGGGTGGGTCTCACCTCCATCTGTGAAGCAGGATGCACTGTGAGCTGCCCCACACTCATGCCCAGATCCGACCACTGCAGGAACACAGATAGAACCTCAACAAAAGCTGTTCTCAGGTTGAGGAGTGGGGAGCCGGACATGTTCAGATCTAGAGAGGCGGAATACACAGGAGGGTGGCTGGGAAAGGCCTTGTATACTGAGTTGCAGGAACTCAACTGGGAACCTTAGGAGCAGGAAGTGACTAATGGGAGGAAGATGGTCTGGCTGAGGGGTCATGGGTAGAGATGAAGGACAGAGACCAAAACAGGGAGACCTGGGAGGAGCCTTCTCTATAGTACAAGAGTTACTACAGATGGAAACAAGAAGATAGAACTGATTCTAATGAACACAGCAAAGAAAAACAATGTCGGCATGGGGTTAAGTATAAGGGTTGTGTCCCCAGACAGTCCTGAATCCAAATCCCATCTTTCCCAGCCGCTAGCTGGGTAACACTGAGAAAGTTGCTTCATCCCCCTAGGCCTCAGTTGCCTCCTCCAGATATGAGAATTGTATCTACTTTATAGGTCACTTATAAGGATCAGGTGAGTTAATGAGCTGATCAGGTGAGATTAGCAAAGTGCTTACTTAGTTCAGGGCTGTTATTCTGATACTAACAGTCCTCAGGGACTCCTTAGGTGGGGGAGAAGTGAAGAAGTAGTCAAAGATGAAAGTGAAGCCATTAACGAAGGGGAGGAGCAGGCTTGGCAGCTTGGGAGTTTGATGTGTTGGTGGTGGCTAGGGTGAGATGGGGATCTGTGGGACCTAGCAGCTGGGGTTGCGGGGAGAGGGCTGACTCCTGAAGGGATGTGGGAACCATGGACATGGAGATGATGTTGGAACTATTCCAGAAAAACAGCTGTCACCCAGACCAGCAGGAATGCTGTGAGTTTATTTAGAGCATTGTCTGAGAGATACCAGGTCAACTACTACCCCTTGTCAAGTCAGCAGAGCTATAATCAAGGAGTAGCATGCTTTCACAGGTCAAGTTTAATTAAGCTTCTTTGGATAGTAGTGTCAGATGTAATTGTTTTATTTTCAGGTGGAAAAAGTCAGGTGATATTGTCCCACATGAATCAAACACAAAATCCCTGGAAAATTCCACAAAGTACAGAAGTCTACCTCATAATTCAGGAGAAGTAGGCCAAGGACTGGACATTGCAGGTCACCTCTTTTTTGGGGTATCAGGGAGCTTGCTAGAGATGCTAGGGTGTCATTAATGCCAAAGGAACAAGTGAGCATTCAGGAGCCATTAGGATTACTCATGTCCTAGATAGGTGGAGGAAACTGGAGGCTAGGGGTCAGGGTCCTCAGCACCTAGCCCCTGGAGACTAGAAAGGGAGACCCAGAGAGGGTCAACTGGGCTGGGGCTGGGAACCCAGAGTGGTGTCAGAGGGGATGCAGAGGGCAGAGTGTTCATAGAAGCCTGGCCATGGAGGGAAGGAGGGCAGACTGTAGGGTTAAAGAAGGTTGTTTAGGATATAGAGACATGGTATTGTAGATAGTCATTCACCCAACACACATTTATTGAGCACTTTATGTGTACAGTTTTAAAGGGAAGGAGCAGGGAACAAGGAAAAAGCTGAATCTGTGTAAGACTGATGGTTTCCAGCATAGTAGTAGGGAGAGGAATAGATCCAAGTGTTGGCCACAATCGCAGGGAGAGGCTTCCTGATCTTCCTGGGGCCTGGGAAGAGGCAGGGGTGGGGACAGGGAGAAGGTGGGAGCTGTGGGTTGCAGGAATGATTTTTATGTCAGTAGGTAGGCTTCAAGGTCAGGAGGTCAAGGTCGAGGTCAAGGTCACGAAGGGTGCTGAGAGAGGAGGCCCCAGCGGCAGGCAGCCATGGAGAGTGGAATAGCTCCTCATAGAGGCTTTGTTAACTGGTAATTTCCTTTTCTTAATAAATGTCCTTAATTCTCCATAATTGAAGGAGAAGGCGCCAGAGGTCAGTAGATGAAGCTTTAATTTGGGGACTATGGAAGGAAAGCAGCTAGAGAGTAATTACTCTGTCATTTACACAAGCTTATTTCCCTGATGAACTGAGAAAGCCAGGCCAGGCCCAGTTCCCACAGGGGACAGGGGAGCTCAGAGCTGAAACTGTGCCTTGGGAAAAACTCAGGACTTTCAGCTGGACAGTGAACCCCAGGAGACAAGCTCTGAGAATTTCCACAACAGAGAGTCTGGGCCTGACTCTGTCCTAAGGCCCCAGCCTAGGCAGCCCTTATGCCCCCAAAACTAAACCCAAAGAAGGTCCTCAAAACAAGGCTCTCTAATGCCTGTAGCCCCCAGTTCAGGTCCGGCTCTGCCTCAGCTTCCTGATTAAACTTACATCTGTCCCTTTTCCTCAAGGCCTCAGTGTCCCTAGCTGATTAGTTAGGAGACTAAATAAACTACAAGAACTCTCTAGGACCAGTATTCTCTAAGTTCACAAAAGTCAGCCGTCTTTTGTTAGACTTGCAGGAATCAGTCAACCCAAGTACACCATGACAGTGTGTATGCTCTTAGCCCCAGGGTGTCGCTCATGCTAAGGAAACGGTCTCTGCTAGCAAAGAGCACAGGGAAACACAGGGGATATTAGTGAAGTGAGTCATGGGGCCTTGACATCTAACAACCAACAGTGTCATGGTTCAGAGGAGGAAGATGAGAATGGAGTCATTGTTAGGAGGGTCTCAAGAGCACTGGGCCTGACCCAGCATGGCTTGGCTGAGCCCCTAACTTATTGTGTCTTGAAGGTTGGGCCCCTTGATGGTTCTCCAGAGGGCACTTGGTCTGGAAAATTTTCAAGTTTCCTTGGCTTCTGGAAAGAGGGAAGATATAAATGAGAGCTCAGAGGCAGGAAGGAAAAAATAGGTGCAGGGTGTGATGATGAAATGAGTGGCATAGAGTGGAGGTGAGGTGAGGCACAGGTGAGGGAACCCTGGCAGGGCTAGGTTATAATGGCCTCTGAGGATTGATTCAGGCAGAGGTGACCAGAGGCCTGGATGCTCCAGACTGAAGGTCATTCCAGACATCCAGGACTTCAGATTGGTCTAACTCCTGTCCTTCTTGGGTGACTCTAGAAGTTTCCTGAGAGCTTTGGGAAAGAGGCCAGGAAGATGGGGAAAAGAGACAACAGTTGGGGGCAGAGTGGACTGAAGGTAATGGTTGATGTCTGAGGCTTTTCCTACATAGTGACCAAGTTCTGTCCTTTCCTGTCCAGGGATGTGGGGGCTGGTTAACAATGCGGGCATCTCGACATTTGGGGAGGTGGAGTTCACCAGCATGGAGACCTACAAGGAGGTGGCGGAAGTAAACCTCTGGGGCACGGTGCGGACAACGAAATCCTTCCTTCCCCTCCTTCGAAGAGCCAAAGGTGAGTAGAAGATAGCCCCTGCCTGACCCTGGACCTGCCATAATGAAAGACCTATCCTGCCAGAGGCAATGTCCATACTAGCAAGGCTGAGCTCCTGACTCCTGGGGCCATGCTGGGCCCACAGATGGTGGCAGGCAGGGATATGTGGCTTTCAAAAGTAGAGCAGGTGATAGGTCAGCAGTCTATGTATCCAGGTATAGCAGGATCCGGCCACTCTTGGACTCTGTGCGCAGGCTGCATATAAACGTCATTGTATCATAGCATGCAGTTAAATAAATGTTAGTGTATCCGTTCTGTGGGTTGTTACACCAAAGCAAAAAAATGAGACAGTTGTAGTATTAAATTTAAAAATAGTAATAATCAAGATTAGAAATTTGGAAAATAGACAAAATATCCAAACCATATTGGATAGCTGAATATAAGCAAACTACGCAAGAGTCCCTGGTTCTGATTTTCTCCCTGGCATAGCAAACAATTGAGGTAAGACCCACAGATCTATCCCAAAGCCCCAGCAACAGCAGGAATGAACACAGGGGTAGCCATAGGTTTTAAAAGGAAACCCAAACTCTTCCATGACTTAGAGCTTAAGAGGTTTCCGCAAGATGCCCAGGACAGACTGTGTGAGCCTTTTTGGGTGTGCTACCAGGGCTAAGAGGGGATGTGGAAGGTCCCTGTCACCCCAAGGCTGGGCCTGTGGCAGAGACTTTTCAAAGTCACCACTTTTCTAGTGCCCAAGACTCTGCCTTCATGTCATCAGCATGGGAATCCCTGCCCATGCCCCAGCCTGCTTCTCTTTGACCATCTTGGACTCCATCCAGTGAGGAGTTGGAGAATGGAGCACCCCAGCACCCTCTCTAAGCCCCAGGGCTTTCCGTACCAGTGCCAGCCTCAGCTCTAGGTGATCTACCTGCATTCATCTTTCGTGTTGCCGCACATAAAATGTTGTCAACACATACTTAGCAAGTCACTTATCTGCACATCTTACTGGGTGAGCTGAATTTTAAGCTCCGTGAGGGTAAAGAGGAAGCTTTAGGCTGCCCAGCATCAGCCCTTGCCTAAAGAGAGCACACAGATCCACATGGGCACCACTCTCCCACCTCCCATGTTCTGCCATTGTTTTTATCCCCAAGGTATGGTCACCAGGCTGAGCTCAGTCTGATTTTGAGTTAGTTGTGTGTTGTCCATTATGCTGTGCCCTCCTGGTATGCAGGCCTGCTTCTCGCTCATTTCTCCTTCCCTGTCCTGCCTGGCCCAGCTGGGCTGCCAGGGAAGATCAGGGTTGCTCACATTGATGGGTGGCCCAAGCTGGCCCTGGCTACCAAAAGAAAAGGTCCCCTGACCCTGGGTGGTTCAGAAGCAATTCCAGCCAAGCCTCTGCATCGCAGGGCAGTGCCACCTGAGCAGGTGTTTGTTGTCTCTCTCTGTAGGCCGTGTCGTCAACATCAGCAGCATGCTGGGCCGCATGGCCAACCCCGCCCGCTCCCCATACTGCATCACCAAGTTTGGGGTGGAGGCTTTCTCTGACTGCCTGCGCTATGAGATGTACCCGCTGGGTGTGAAGGTCAGTGTGGTGGAACCTGGCAACTTCATCGCTGCCACCAGCCTCTACAGCCCCGAGCGCATCCAGGCCATTGCCAAGAAGATGTGGGACGAGCTCCCTGAGGTTGTCCGCAAGGACTATGGCAGGAAGTACTTCGATGAGAAGATCGCCAAGATGGAGACCTACTGCAACAGCGGCTCCACAGACACATCCTCCGTCATTGATGCTGTCACACACGCCCTGACAGCCACCTCTCCCTACACCCGCTACCACCCCATGGACTACTATTGGTGGCTGCGAATGCAGATCATGACCCATTTACCTGGTGCTGTCTCTGACAGGATCTATATACACTGAAGAGTGACCTTTTGGGGAGCCCTAGAGGGAGGGAAGAGAATGGGGGAGGGAACACATATAGTCACCTTTTGATTAACCACTTGTGGATTATCTCATGTCCTAGGAGGCCCCATTTTAGCATTAACCAGAGGGGATAACTCAGCCTGACATGTTAATGTGGTGAGTAGCTCAGGCCTTCACAAATGGGATGGGGTGGGGGGCCCTAACTAAGCCTCAGGGCAAACATGGTGTATCTATCTAAAGTTTATTTCATACAAAGATTTTTGGAGAAATGTCTTTATATTAAAAACAGATTTATTCTAGAATAGAATCCAGGTTCCTTTACATTTTAAGCCAAAAACATCAGTTCAAAAAAATTTGATCCTTAAACCTGCCTCATGAGTAAAGAAGGACGGATTTTTTTTTCTTCTGTACAAATAATCTGTAGCTCTGAGAGAACACATGAATTAACCCTTTTATTGCTTAGGAGTGGCCCATGTTTTGTTTTTCTGCCACAGATGTACAAACCCTTCCCATTTGCATTCCGGAGCCACTTTGGATCCCTTTATCCAGGAATCCTCTGGCACCTCTGTCTTCGCCTGAGCTTTGCATACCAAGTGCCCACTGTATACCTCTTTGCACATCCATGGTGCTATATGACCAGCGGGCAGCCAGTGATTGACAGTAGGCTGTATGGCAGGGGTGTGGATCATTCTGGAGATTTCCATTTGAGATTTCTCCACTGTCTTTGAGGACTTGGTCTAGACTTGTGTGGAAGTGCTCCATAGTTGAGGGAAGTTTGTTGGTAACCTTGGTTTTACCTGCAGTGGGACTGGTACTGACTGGGGTTGCAGATGGAGCATCAGTGCCAAGGCCAGTACTGTGGCACCTTCTTCCAGTGGTGGTCTGGGTGCCTGTCTGTCTGTGTGGTACACACACACACACACACACACACACACACACACACACAATCACACACTCACACATGTGTACTCACACATGTTCATTGATGGCTTGTTTTTCCGCTATGGCCATATTTATACTTCTCAAGTTTGTGTTTGAAGCCTACCATCCCTACAATTGAGCAGGACCTGGATATTTGGACCCAAACAGGGACCACCATCTTCCAGGTGACTGCAAGCCTCTGGGAGGTCCTGAGTGCCAACTTTGAAAATCAAATTAAACTAGCATTTCCACCTCTCCCAGGAAGAGCTAGGCCTGCCGCTAGAGGGAGCCCAACTCCTCTGCAGCTAAGCCCCAACTCTGAACTTCCATGCAAGCCTGAGGTCTCTCAAAGGGTGTGTGATTCCCACCTGGGAGATTGCCTGGGGGAAAAAAAAGCAAGGCCCCTTTAGAAACAGTATTCCTGCCCTCTTAGCAGCTGCCTGGCTTGACCCTGGAGCATGGTGCCAGGAGAAAGCAGGAGTCTCCTAGCAGCTGGAACAGGCCATGGGCACAGAGAGTGCCAAGGCAGGGTGGCTCACAAAGAGCAGATTCAGCTGGCCTGGTGGGCCTTTGTCCCCTTGTCTTCAACAGGGATGCTCTGTCTTAGCTCCTGACTGCAGGGTGAGATAGAGAGGGCCTAGGGGGCAGGAGGGAGGCAGGGCCTCCAGAGCCCAGAGTGGACCCTTGATAACCATTGTATTTACATATCAATGAGATGCTTTTTTTGTATCACCGAGCTGGCCTCCAGCAGAGGCTTTCAAAATCACACTGTACATATTAGGAGGATTGGTTTTCATGCTTAATAAAGGAAAATGAATTGATGCCTGGAGTTACACATGTGCTTTCACCCCTGGGAACTAGAGGGAGGTAGGGATGGCCACATGCTTTGAGTCCTGATCAGCAGTAAACAGAACTCTGGAAAAGCCACGTCTGTCTGTCAGGGTCTTCAGTCATAAGCAGGATTGCTGGGTTGGCTCACAGCCTGTTCTGGTTTTTAATTTGTATCCCAGTGATTAAAAAGTCCAGGGTACCTTCCCTCCAATCTCAGTACTAATTAAAATTTCCTGTTTTCCGTTCACCTTCTGGCAGCTTAGAACCTAGCAGGATCTAGTTTTGACCTTTACAAGAGATAAGTGGGGAGGGCAGAACAGGTTATTCCCATTTCATAAGTGACATAACTGAGACCCAAAGAGGGAAAGTGACTCATCTATCATCACAGTGGGTTGGGACAAAACGAGGTCAAAACAAGTCTTCTGAGTGGTGCTGTTCACCGTCATTGCACACAGTGGCATGCACAGCTGGGAGAGCTGAGCTGGTTAGGGTCTCTGAGCAACTAGAACCTCAGGGCTTGTGTGCCCACAGGGGGCTACCACTTCTTATTGGGGTGGGGACTTCCCACAAGATGCCACTGACTCTCACTGTCCAGTCCTGCTGGGAACAAATGATGTTCTCAGGCCCTGCCTTTGATAGAAACTGCATCTCCAATATCCTCACCTTACAAAGGTCACCTGCTCAGTGAGGACTGGGGACCCATGCCCTGAGTCCTGCAGCTCCGTGCCAGGGCCTCATGAAGTATATGCCCATCTCTGAAGTAGGAGGTACTAATCAGCAGCTATCCTATACTAGGCCCTGTGCCACGTTCCAGACTGAATTGCATGTCCCCTCTCCCAGATTCATATGTTGAAGCCCTAGCCCCACATGTGACTATTTGAGAGTTAGGCCTTTTCAGAAGTAGTTAAGGACAAATGAAGTTGGAAGGGTAGAGTCCTAATCCAATAGGACCATCAATAGGAAGAATTGGGGCCTAATAAGAAAAGGAAGACAGACTCTCTCTCCAAGCCTCTCAGACTTTCCAGAGTGTGTGAAAATAAATTTGTGTTTAAGGCCAGTCGTTGGCATTTTGTTATAACTACTCATGCTGACTGATGCAGCCAGGAACCAAGTATTCATTCATTATTTTATTTTTTCCTCCTTAGGATCTGTGAAGAAAGAGGACCTAGCAGCCCCTGCTGGTCCTTGCCCCTGCTAATCTTGTCTGCCATCCTCCGTAGTGTGACTTTGAGCCTCAGTTGGTGGTGCAGGAAGGAGGAGAGGACATTGCAGAAAAAGTCTGGAGCTGTGGGGTGGGGCTTCAGGCTAGTCTCAGCCTGTACACAGGACCCCTGCTGGGACCTAGGGTCTGTGCTGCAGCCATCATGGACCCTCCTCTGTTGGCTAGAGGCTGAAAATAACTTTTTGCAAGATGTTCCAGACAGTGCCTTATAACTGAGTGCATGTGAGATTGTATGAGCAAGTGACAGACTGGCCTGATCCTGCCTATCACAAGCGGCTGGGCCACACCTTTGCCACCCATGGAAGACAGTCTGCCAAAGACTCCCGACTTGTGAAGTCTATTCACTTTCTGTATTTCAAACAGCCCAGTCTGATACAGGTACCATGTGAGGCTCCCAGGCTCAGGCAGCTAGATAGCAACCAGGCTCATATGTGCAGTGCTGGGCGCGTCACCCAGTCAGTTCGCTGCCTCTTCTCACCTGATGCTCACAGTGCCCTGGCAAGCAGGCAGGGTGGGATCACAGGCTCATTTCACAGATAAGGGAACAGGCTTTCCCAAGTCTCTCAGCACAGGAGTGATAGAGCCCGTGGCCAAGCCAGATCTGTCTAACCTCCAGCCCAGAGCTAGTGATGCATGAAAAGCCAGGCAGATGGTACCAGGATCTAAAATAAGGAGGGGAAAAAAATACCTCAATTATGTAACAGAGGAATCTTTAAGCCTATGCACAGTAACAACCACAGAGTACGACCACGCGGGCCAGCTCCTTCTTCCCTGCCCCCTTTGGGCCCTGAGTGCAGCTTCCTGGGAGACCGTGTGCCAGAGGAGCCCACCAAGACAATCTGCCTTGGCTGAGCTAAAACTGTTCTCAAAGGAGCGTCTGAAGGCAGCCCTAGGAATACCAAAAGCCCAATCTGGGAGCTGCCCTCAAAGGGCTCAAGGGCCACAGGAGCAGAGCCTGAGACCTGCAGTGGTTGGTTCTTTTCAAAGAGCTGCACAGCTCTCCGGGGCACTGATGGAGGCGAAATAGCCCAGGGCATGAGGGGCTTCTCCAGTGTGTGCAGGCACCCAGGAACAATGATTTGTGAATGGTGATTTCAGAAGCACAGAGTGAGGAACTGTTGGTCCCAGAACTAGGGACTAGGGCCAGGGTGAAGGGCTAAGAGAGGTGGCTGTGACCCTCACAACCTCAGAGAATCAAAAGGGACCCGGCCATCATCAAGCCTGACTCCCAGCCTCCTGGATGAGGAGCCTGCGGGGCCGGGGCTTGAGGCCCTCCAGTGACAAGTGGCTCATTACTTCCTGAGAAAGCATTTTCTTGATTCAGAAAAATGTATCCAAAGACCAAGGCCAAATCTACTCAATTAACTTAACCCCTTTGACACCTGGCTCTGACTCAGACCTCCAGAGAACAATGTAAATCTTCTCAAACAGCTCTCTGAATATTTGGAAATGACTATCATGCTCAAGAACCTTATTTGACAAGCTCTCCATACACCCTACTCCCCAAACAGAAGATATCAGCTATAGTTATTCCACCCTCCTCCTGTGTTCCTGATGACACAGGATGTTCTTGTCCTGTTAGCAGCCCAGACCTTTGAGACAGGTTTTAATGCTGACAACTCCTCACATGCATGTAACCAATTAAATGGATGCATTGGCACAAATCTTTCATTCCATTATATGTAGTTTAGGATTTAGGCAGCATCATTATTCCTATTTTACAGATAAGGAAACTGAGCCTCAGGAAGATGAAATGACTAACCGGAGAGTCAGGAAAAAGGGAAAACCAAGACATAAGCCTGTCCTTTTGGTTTCTATCTCTAGGGCCCCAGTAATGGTTTGGATGTGAGGTATCCCCCAAAAGTTCCTGTTCAGAGGTGAAATGATTGAATTATGAGAGCTGAAACCTAATCAGTTCATCCTAGTTTGAGTGGACTGATGGGGTGGTGACTGTAGCAGTGTGAAGCATGGTTGGAGGAGGTAGGTCTCTAGAGGCTGCCTTAGAAGGATTCAACTTCCCTGTGGCCCCTCCCTCTGCTTCCTGGCCATCATGAGCAGAGCATGAGCTGGTGCTCCTCCACCATGTCCTTCTGCCACGACGTCTGCCACACTTGGGCCCAGAGCAATGGAGTCAGCGTACTGTGGACTAAACCTCTGAAGCATGAGCCCAAATAAACTTTTTCTCCGCTGAATTGTTCTTGTCAGTTACTTTGATCATAGCAAAGCAGAGCTGACTAACATAGATAGACCCCTTCCAGTACCCCGGGGTTGCCTCAGTCTCCCCAAGAGCTGGGTTGGACTCAGCTCGATGAAGGAGCATTGGGGTGAGAGGATGAAGAACAACTCCCTTCTCAGTACTGCAGAGCGTCCTGTGAAAGAGAGGCCCAGGGCTGGAGTTGTGTCTCTGTGGTTAGAGTGCTTGCCTAGCTCATGTGAGGCACTGGTTCAGTCCAGCACCACATTAAAAAATAAACAAAATAAAGGTGCTGTGTCCATCTACAACTAAACATATTTAAACAGAGAGAGAGAGAGAGAGAGAGAGAGAGAGAGAGAGAGAGAGAGAGACCCAGCCTTTCCTGTCTCTCAAGGCCCAAGTATCGGCAGCAACTGTGGGATCACCCAGTGGCCTCAACCCTGATGGAGGACCTTAGAGTGGGAACAGCGGGGTGAAGAAGCATTCCCAGGACTGAGCTGGGGACCACTTGCCTCCCCATCTACAGAGCTGTGTCGGAGAGGGGTGTGAACAGGACAAAGCTTGGGAGACGTCAGGGCCCAGAAATACCTTGTGCTGCTCTCAGTGAGACTTAATTACTCTCTCACATGTCAGTCTACTCTCACTTATCAAATTATAGGTGAACTTAATTACAGCTCAGAGTCACCACACTGGGCTCTTCAGAAATAGCAGCAAGCGGACCGCACAGCTTTAGCTGTAGCCATCTCCATTTTTGGATGAATTTCCCATTGTTTCCAGGGTTTCCAAGGGCAGCTGGACTCTGATATTAGGCAACAAGGGTGGGCATGGGCTGCACTGAGCACTCTCCTGTACTGACCACCACCTTGCCAGGCCACTCAGCCAGGGAGGGCTGTGCTGAGCCAAAGGCTGAGTATTCTATATATTGGGTGGGTCACCATGCTGAGGTCTCTCCCCTGCTTACCTTGTGTTGTGCACTAAAGTCTTGGTTCATTCGGTCTGACCAAAGGTGCACAAAAAGTGGTGCAGGACTTGCCAAAAGTCACAAAGAGCAAGCAAGGTGCTGGATGAGAAAACAGGCCTCATGGAGACACAAGGTCACCTTCAAAAAAAAAAAAACAGGGTAAAGAGCAGCAAGCCCCTTGGGACTGGTGAAAGTTCAATGACATCAGGAAGGGCATTGTAAACTTCCTTGCAGGCAGGTAGGATTGACAGACTCATGTTCCTGCGGAAGAAACTGACGAGAGGCACAGGGTGAGTTTAGGGGCTTTGATGGGAACAGAGAAGCAATGGCTAAAGGGAATGCAGATGCCATTAATGAGCTTATATCCAGAGGTGCAGCCCACTCGTCACAGCCCTGCCCCCTACCATGTACCTTGGATCATTTGAGTCTCTGTTTTGGGCCAGGCCTTGGGTTGGGCTTAGGGCAGGGGTACAACAGCAGGCTATGCACTGGCTTCCCAGAGCTCACCGTCAAGCCCAGTGTAACCCAGGGTAAAGTGCCATGATTTTGAGGAGGAAGTGAAAGTCTTTATTCTATCAACTATGAGTGGAAAATGTAGTTATTATCAATCTACA